TTTTAACTTTTCTTGAAGATCTATGCAACAACTACAACAAAAAAAAAATATCGTTCCCAATTTCCCTCCTCCGCTGAAAAATACAACCAATATAATAATAATAATAATAATAATAATAATAATAATAATAATAAAAGTTGTTCTAGACTATCAAATTAAATATTAGATTTTTATTTGATGATGGTTTTCTTATACTTAACCAATATATTTTAAAATAAAGACAGAAAAAGAAAATGTTTAGTTTTTTTTTTTTTTTTTCCTAAATATATAGATGCAGAGCACATGGAATTTTTCTTTTCTTTTTTTTTTTTTTAAGTTTTTCTTTCTATGTTGATAAGGAGTCATACAGTCCATAACCATTCATGGCAAGAAATCCCTGAAAAGATCAAGGTAAACAGGCATGGCCTCAGCTGCCAAAATGAAGGGCACTATGTGCCAACACATTAGGAGAACAACTGTAATCCAAAGGCTTTAACTCTGGGGAAAGGCAGGCCTGAACTACCTGGAAGCTCTCCAGTGATGATTCAGAGATCATGAGAGGAAAAAGCCACCTGCCCTAATAGAAGAGTAGCATGTATTTAAGAAAAACGTAGCACATGGAGTTGAATTAAAGACCAAGACAGAATGGCCTTTGTGACTTTGTATAAATTATTCAATGAAAATCTTTTAATAAATGTAGAAGGCAAATTTAAAAGAAAAATAAATACAATAAAAACAAATAGAAATATGTGAAATGTATTTAGACTAACTATGAAGTAAGTATACACTTTTCTGATTTTAATCCATGCAGTATCCCCTGTTTTATAATGAGAATCTAGTCTATATGAAGAAGAATAAGACATCAGGTCTAAAGGAACATTTAATAACAACCTGATACATGCAGATGACACAACTTTGCTTGATGGAAGTGAAGACTATTTGAAGCCTTTACTTGATGAAGATCAAAGACTGCAGCATTCAGTATGGATTATACCTCAACACAAAGCAAAAATTCTCACACTGGACCAATAAGCAACATCACAATAAACAGAGAAAACATTGAAGTTGTCATGGATTTCATTTTACTTGGATTCACAATCAACATCCATGGAAGCAGCAGTGAAGAAATCAAAGAATGTTGGACAAATCTGCTGCAAAAGACCTCTTCAAAGTGTTAAAGAGCAATGATATCACTCTGAAAACTAAGGTGTGCCTGACCTAAACCATGATATTTTCAAACACCTCACATGCATGTAAACCTGGACAATATATAAGGAAGACCGAAGAAAGAATTGATGTATTTGAATTATGGTGTTGACAAAGAATATTGAAAATATCATTAACAACCAGAAGAACAAATAAATTTGTCTAAGATGAAGTATAGCCAAAATGCTCCTTAGAAGCAAGGATGACGAGACCTCACCTCCAGTACTTTGATAAAGTTATCAATGGGGACCAGTCTCTGAAGAAGGATATAATGTTTGGTAAAGTATACAGTCAAAAAAAAAGAGGAAGACCCTCAGTAAGGCAGATTGATACAGTGACCACAACAATGGGCTCAAGCATGGCACTGGTTTTGAGGATGGCCCAGGACTGGGGAGTGTTTCATTCTGTTGTACATGAAGTCCATATGAGTCAGAATCAACTTGATGACACCTAAAAGCAATGACATGAATTAAGTATTGATTCTTTCTTTTTTCCCCTCTTCCATGGATATCTTAATTGTACAAGAAACTACCTTTTGCATGTAATATGAGTTATATTCTGTTCCTCAATTTTCTTAAAAATAAAAGATTAAATCTCATATCAATGCTTTGTTCTTCAGAAATCCATTGAATTTCATCATAATCTTGGTGAAGTTCAGAGTCTTCTACAATAGACTGATTCATTAATTAAAGATAAGGACATAATATTTCATGCAAGTTTTATTTCTAATTGTTTTGTTTTTGTTATGGCGGATTTAAAACAAATAAAATATATTGTTTGGAAATTATAAATGTTAAAGATATTGAAAATGTACTCACTTCCTAGATGATATAATTAGTATTCATAGAGACTACTCAAGTTATTCAATATCACCTGGCACATAGTGGCAAAGTTGGATGAAGAATCTACTCTCATTTTAACTCCAGTTCTCCTATTACCTATGTTGCAGCTGCAGTTTGTTTTTTGGTAGGACATCTGCTGTATCTCTATAAATTTAATCCTAATTTGTCCTCATTGATGATTGCTTTTGACCAACTATCCTAATTTATTTATCAGAAATGTGAAATAAGGACTTTATCATAAGAACAACATTACTTTTCCTTCTTCTGTCTTTCTTTATGCTACAGATGATAGAATACACGTAACCAAAATTTTTTTTTTTTCAATTAAATCTGTATTAATTACAACGTTAACATCAGTTGTTTTCATTTCATTGGTAGGAAACAAACAAACAAAAATGTTTAGGGCTTTCAGAAGCTTGTGAGTTGGAAAAGAATGTGAAATACTGGTTTTGAAAATAATTTACTAGGAACTTAGAAAATAATGTACTGTTTTTGTGTTACCAAGATCCTTTCTATTTACTCTTAGGCTGTCAATTCAGAACCCCTTCCATAGTTCAATGATATTAATATACAGAAAATGGAGAAAACCAAAAGACTAGATTAATATTATAGGAAAAGAGGATAAAATATGTGTAGATATATTTAAGAGTCAGCTAAGCTGAGTTGGAACCCTGTCCACCTCTTAGTAGTTACTATGAGTACATTTCATTATCCTATCAGCTAGCATTATAATTGTATAGGTTTTTAAGGGTAAAGAGTAGGAAGAATATGGTTATAAGAGGTGACAGAGTGAAGAAAGTTTGGAGGTTAGAGATCACCCAGAAGTTGCTTGGAAGAAAGGCTTGATGATCCAGTTACAAAATAATCAGCCACTGAGAAACCTATGGAGCACAGTTTATACTTTGATACGTATGGTGTCACCACTATGAGTTGGAATCAACTCCATGGCAACTGTTCAATCTAGAATTATAGAAACATTAATTCAGAGCATTATTATTTTTATTATTTTGTTATTATTTAGTTAGCAATAACTTTCTAAAAACATCTTAGCAATAACCAATATATTTCATTTTTAAGAGCATTTTGTAGTTCCATAATAGGAATAATAAGTAGAATAATATCTGAAAATAATGCTTTTATTGTCTTCCAGAAATTTTATGTTAGTTTAATGGCACAGATGAATATATTCTTTTGAATAATGTCTAATTTTTCTTTTCTTTTTCTTTTTTTTTCCATTTCTCTTGGGGGTATTTTAATTTTTTTTTAATTTTTAAATAGTTTTCTGTTTATATAAATGTTGGAAAGAAAATAATAAATGATCTCTTTACCCTTTAACCAACTTTGCCTAATGTTAACATCTTGCATAAACATGGTACATTTATCACACTCAGACATTAACATTAGTACAATTGTATAATATTATAAAACATTGGTACAACACTATTATACCGTTATTCATATCTCAACAATCTTTCCTAATGTCCTTTTTCTACTTCAGGAAACAAGCCAGAACAACATATTGCTTTTTCTAGTCAAGTATTTGTTGGGTATTTTATAGAATTTACCTCAATTTATATTTGTCTGATCTTTTCTCAGTTTTAGGCAATAGTTAAGGATTTTGTGAAGAATGCAACAGTGGTGAAATGATCTTCTCGGGTAATCAACAGTGGAGACATAATATCAACATGATTTTTATGGTGATAATATGTTTGAACACTTGGTTAGGGTGCTGTGTGCCAAATTTGTCTACCATAAAGTTAGTATTTTGTTCTTATCCATTCACAATTTTGTATGTGTGTTTCAGTAAATGAAACCTACACTGAAGGGAAAGTATCTTCATGTTTTATTTATAATTCTTCTATAGGAAAGTTTTGTCCCTTCTCTCACACCCAATAACTTATAAGAGTAGTATTCTAGCTGTTATGTTAAAAATAGACTATAGATTGGCCAGTTTCAGCCCAGGGAGACTGGCTTAGAAAAGCAATGTGAAAGACTAATGAGTAGATGGTAGCTGGAATGATGAGAAGATCGTGTTTTGGATTTCTGATGGATTTAATATGAAGTGTGATAGAAAAGGAGGCAGTAAAGACAATTCTATCTTTGGAGTTTGGAACAACTGATAAAGTTGCCAGCATTTGTGTGTGTGTGTGTATGTGTATGCCTATCTTTTCGTTTGTAAATATATCACATATTGATTGTAGCACTTATCTAGAGTATGAAAATGATAACTGAGCAAAGTTCAAATAAATCCCCAATCCATAAGGTTTAGTCAAATTAATAGTCATAATAACAAAATATTTAGCTTTGCATGAATATATAAATGACCCCATCTACAATATTAACATTTTACTCTTATTTTCATCAAAAATACCACAGTTTTTCACTTTAATAACCTTCAGAGGTTGTGACTATATATTTTATATTTCTTTTTTCTGTGTGTGTGTTTTTTTGTTTTTTTTTTTAACCACTTTTATATTTTCAGAGTACTTGGAGTCTTTTTTGTGGACTCTTTTTTCTAGATGTCAATCATTTTTCATTGTTCATGCTGACACGATTTGTTTTTGTCATAACTTAGGATATACCATGATATTTCATCTTAGGGTTTTAGTCTACATTTTTCTTTAGTTTTATAATATAGTGGCATATTCACTAATATTTTAATGTAAGATAGTGTTATTCTAATATTAAATATATCTTAATGTGAATGTGTGTGGCAGTGTTGAAGGTTAGCACATCTAAAATTTAGAGATAAAAAATACCCTCTGTATGTTCAGCATCTTTTCTTACTTTGTAATTTCAGATGCTATTGATCGCGTTAGGAGGTAGAGCTAAAGGAAGAGAGCAAAACATAATTCAAATGCTGGTAAAGAGATTCTCTTCATTGCAGCAAATCACAATAGTGTGTTATATATAGAAGTAAGATCAGTCATTGTTTTCAACTCTGCTAAATAAAACTGAACTCTTGGAATGGCATGCCACTTGACCTTCCAGGGTTTTACCAGCAGTATTTAACTGGTGCAAAGGGAACATACTTCCAAGTGTCTCCTGTTGACATGACAGATTCTCCTGTTAGTTCACACAATGTTCAAAAGGCACAAGTCCCTTGCTTCAGAACGCAAGAGACAATTATTTTCCCAAGGAGCATCACGGTCCATATTGAAGAATGATATGAGAAATTTTCACGCTTTGTCACAACTTGTGATCTCAGCAGGCCCTCTGAAACCAACTCCAGTGGTCAAACATTCTAAAACGATTCACTTTGAGATTGAAATACTTGATGCTCAAACAAGAAAGCAGATATGTATTGTGGATAAGGTGAGTACTATTTCTTTCCTTTTTTTTTTTTTTAAATCTCCTCCAAAGATTATTGCTTACTTAATTGAATGCTGACAGAACTGCATTAAAATCTGTTCTTGTTCTTTAACCTTCACTTTATGATAAGTAGTACACATGCTTCATACATTGTTTCTTACAAGATGCTCTGCATCTTTCATGTTTGTGGTAGCTAATAATTAGATTTTAGTTTTCCTGTTACAGTTCACCATTATTTGGAAATAAAATTTCCAGTGATTAGCTTCTGAGTCAATATGACTATCTCTAGATTTTCTAATCCTAGAGATATACAACAGTCATTGCATATTACTGTACAACTTTAATTGTATTTGTAGAGACAGCAAGCCACAGTCTGAAGTTGGCAAGTTAGAATGCTTTAGAGATTTTGATAAAATTTAATCATTTAAAAAATTATTCTGAATTGGGTTAATTATATTCCTTGAAAAAGACAGTCTCTTTATTTATGAAAAGTTTACTTGTTTCACAAAACCATAACATACAAGTTCCTAACAAAGAATGCTTTGTATACTATACTATCCCATTTTTGTCATATTTGCAGATGTTTCACTGTACCATATACTTCATAGGTTTAAAATGAAGACCATACATGTTTGTTTTAGATATGCATACATATATACAATTTCAGTGTATTCTAAGTTTGAAAAGACATTGGTAGTTTAATTTATTAAGAGAAAGACACATTATTTTTATAAAATTAAATCTTCATTTTATTTTACAGGAAGCTTAAATAAGCTTTTGTTCTAAAAAATTCTATCACTGATTCCCTAAAACTATATTCTGTTTCTAAATAAGAAGGGAAGAAGAAAAATTGCATATTGCTTCAATTGCCAAGCATATTATATATACTTTTTTTAAAATTAATTAGAACAGTATGATCAGCTTATTATTTGAATAATATTAACTTTTATTCCTAAATAAAAAAGAAATATTTGCAATATTTCCAAGTTTATACAGATCATAAGTGGGAAAGAAATGATTCAAAACCATTTGTATGTAACTCTAAATCTCATGCTTGTCTGTAACACCACGGAGACTAAATATAAATGAGGAATATGTATTTGTGTTAGTTGCTGCCAAATCAATTCCTACTCCTGGTGACCTGAAGTATACTGAATAGCACTCCAGAAGGCTTTCAAGGCTGTGACCTTTCAGTTGATCAAAAGGCCTCACTTCCAAGGCGTTTCTGGGTGGTTTTGACCTATCACCTTTTGATTAGTAGGTGAGGAGCTCTAATAGCATAGTGCCTAAGGCATTTGACTGCTAATCAGAAGGCTGGTGGTTCAAACCTACCAGCCACTCCTTGGAAAGGTGGTTGGGTAATCTACTTCCGTAGTGATACCACCTTGGCAACCCAAGGAGGGGTTGCTATGAGTCAGGTCCCACTGGATGGCACATGACAACAACAACAATGCAGCACTTAACCATTTGCACCACCCAGAGACCTGGATATGTATGAGTCTAATGGAATTTTAACTTATGAATTTCATGCAGGGCATAATATCCTTCTTCTATTTAAGAACCTCAATAAACTATTTTGATTTTTTTTTTTTTTTTATCTTACAAGAATATGGACAATCTGAAAAATAAACTTATCATCTATAAGGTGATATTTGTAATATCTCACTACAAAAATGAAAAAAAAAAAATCAAAACTTACAAGAAGAACACAATTAAACCAGAGAAACATGGCAATGAATGTGAAGGAAATTTAAATGGTCAAATATTTCCCAAGATCAAGAGGCTAACATAAAACTGATTATTGTACCCTTATAGGCATATGTCCAAAGTTTGAGACACAGCCCACCTTTAAATAATGAGATGAGAGAGTAATGGATTTCTAATTAATTTCCTTCGTATTTAAGCATTTTTGTTACCAATACTTTATATAAAGCTAAGACATGGCATTTTGCAATTCTACATGTAAATTAATGAATGGAAAAATTTAAGCATTCAGAAATCCAGTGTTTTTTTTAAAAAAAATAGCTTAGGAATCTCATGTTTGAACTATGAAAGTCCTTGTATTTGCATCTCAAATGGCAAACTCTTACAGAAAAATAATATGCTTAATAGAGGATTAATTTTGAATTCTTCTTCCTTTATTGCACAAAGTTATATGATGCTACTTAGCATATTCAGATTTTTGGGTCCTCAAAAGAACTGGGTTTTGCTTTGTCTTGCTTGTGTTTTTTAATTTGATAAAATGTTCCATGATGATGGCAAGATACTTCAGAGGAAAAAATTTACATTCATTTACATGTTTTTGCTTCATGATTTGTAATAGTTGTAATTTATAAACATGAGAAAGATTCATTTTATTTTACAAAATATTGTTTTTCATAGACAAACTAAAAATGTAATAAGGTCATATTAAAAAAAAATTCTTTGAACTTGGCTCCACCTAATATACAAAAGAGGTGTTTTTTATGCCACTGTCTTTTAGTAAGCATATTTTTATAAGGTCAGCAGTGAAATTTAAAGATCTGGTACTTAGGAAGCACACATCACTGAATTTAAAGCCCTTGTGCATCATTCTTATGTGTCAAATCTTAGGAAAATCATTGAATAGTTGAAACAAAAGACACTTACTAAGAATATGGGCTACTAAAACCTATTTCTAAGTTTGTAGTAAAAAGTAGGAATACTACATTCATTTCTTAGTACTATGACTTGAACATAATAAGAATATATATTTAAACGAAATTTGTTTCTTTGCTTGCTTATTGGGAGCAATATATTCATATAAAAATCCAAGAAAAAATGATTCACAAGAATTGGACTTTGTGATTAAAAAAAAAAAAAAAAAAAAACTTTATGATACTAGAACATAATTTAAATTTAATTGAATATTTGATTACTGATTGACGTGTGTTTAGTGATTCGATTACATACAATATTTTCCAATATTATGAGGGAGATGTATACATAAATGTATACATAGATGTATTCATAAATGCTGAACTAAAGCAGAACATTTATTTTCTATCTATATATGGTAACTCAAACTATAAAGTAAACAATTTACTCAAATATTCATAAGACAAAAATATTAACTGAAATTTTTGTATTAAAGATAATAAGCAAAATTATGTTCTTTTACTTAAACATAAACACACACTCACACACCAAAAAAAAAAAAAAAAAATTATCTTTCCTCCACTGTCTTCTTTAGCTTCTGTTTCATATCTACTGGTACTTTCCTGACGGATTGTTTTCTCTCTTCTTATTCTCACCTAAGACGACTTCATTCTGGTGTTTGCCTGCACTGCTTCTCAGAATCTGAACTCCTCGAGGTCATCAGTGAGGCAGTGGCAAACAGCTTACTGTACCCAGAAGTTAATTCTCCAGCTTTATCTTACTTGATATACATCAGCAACATTTGCCACTGTTAATTACATCTACTTTTAAAAAAGGGTTTTATTATTTGAGTTCCAGGATAATACATACTTTTAAAAAATAAAGAAATAAACCTATTTCTTTCCTTCCCTTTGTCTTCTTCTTTGCTGATTCTTAATAGCCCGATATTAGGAGAGGTGTGGAATGGTGCCAATTCAGTATCAGAACCTCTTCCCAACTACAATCATTTACCTCTTTGAGGCCCACAACCTGAAATATCATCTGCCTTTAGGAAGAGATGACTCATAGATAATTGCAATCTATTATTTTTCTCTGAAGTGCAAATCCTTATATCTATTTATCTGAGTATGTCCTGGCATCTGAAATTTAGCATATCTAAAACTGAGAAATTGGTCTTCCTCCAAAAATCTGTCATTCCCAAAGAGACCTCAAAGTCAGTAAGTGGCAACCACATCTTCCAAATAGCTTATGCCAAGCACTTGGAGATATTATGACTCATCTCTTAATCTCACACCCCACGTGTGATTCATCTTCTGTGGATGCCACAGTATATTCAGATACTGACAAATTTTCACCACCAATATTGCCAGCAGTTCTACATCTTCTGGCTTCTCTTGTCCTTACTTAGTTCAAATTTCCTATATAGTAGCCTGAACTATCCTGTTAAATCTTATCAGACAATACCAGTAGTAATTCAAATTCATCTTCCTTTATATCTCTATTAATTCATTTTTGCTTTGAGGATTTCTGACTACCTATTTAAAAATGCAAAGCCCACCAACGTTATGTATACACTTTCTAATAGTTTATTTCCCGATTAATATGTATTTTCATCTAACTTTCTGTGCCTATTTTCCCATTTTTATTCTGTTTTTTGTTAAACCTAGTCAGTAATATTTCAGTTTCATGTAATCAAGGATTTTTGTTTGTTTACTGCTATGTTCTTTGTACTTAGAAAAGCACTTGGCACCAAAAATCAGAAAGGAAGAAAAAGGGTATGGATTCTACCTTACACACGTGTTTAGTAGTGATTGTGTTATAGTGAAGGAACATAATTTTAGAAAACACAGTTTTTTTAATCAAATTAGCTTTGGAATAAATATAAACATGTTCACAGAAAAAGACATTTCTTCGAACCATTTCACTATATGCCTAAATCACTCCTGGAAAGGATGTATAAAATTAATCTTTGTAATATTATATAATTTACTAATAAGTGATCATATTTCAACATATTTTTCATATAAGACATTGTGTATGAGTATATTTATTTAACTATTTTAATTATTTTATATGAATGATAAAATGAAGGGCAACAAATATCGTTAACAAAATATTTTGAATATTATTCTGTTAATGGTAACATCAAAAGATTGAAGATATTGTAGAAAAAATAAATTTTAGATATTTAACAACTAATTATTTCCAGTTGCAAACTATCCTCACCTCACTTCTATTTTGTAAAATGCCTGAGCTTATCTAGTGATAAGTCAATGTTTCGAGAGCACAGCGTGAACTCTCAAAGCTAGAGCTGATAAATGCTCTTAATATTGTTCCACCCTCTTTCTTTTCTGCAAGGAATTTGACCTCAAATGCCCTCTTTCTCT